TCATTAGCATCACAAACCCACAACCTATAGTGATAGTTACAACAGGATAACCACAACCAAACTGCCTGCAAACACATATTGTGTGCCACTGACAATGACACAGTCGTCTGAAATATCATAGCTGTGTCTCTCACACCGTATTATCCCTGCCACTCTGAACAACGCAAATGGGATCATACTTGCAGTGGCATACTCAGCTGCTGTATACCTGCTCAAAAACTTAGACACATTACACACCTCTGCTCTATGTTACTTTCCACTTGAAGAAAATTTTGAACCCAAGTCTTTAAAACAGTTTATGTCCTGGGGCAGTATTTTAAAAAACAACTTCCAATAGTGGAACTGTCACAGATGTCCCTGCCTCGCACTTCATCAGAAGGAGGCATTTTTACTTTTCCTATATGAAAATCAGATCACAACAAGGTAGGAAAAGTCCCAAGCTGAACACTGTCAAGACCCTGCTCTGCACTCAGAGTCCTCCCATTTGGAGTGAGGAAAGAGAAAGCCACCTGTAACAAAAGCACTGATTTTCAGTAGAGGATCTTATGGCAATAACAGTCAGAAAATTATATAAGCAGTAGCAAAGAGAAGGGCAGTGATGCTGCCTATCCTATAGCTCCAGGATTAGCAGTGCAGATACTCCTACAGATAGTGGTAGCACCCTGTTCAGCACGGCCCAATTCCATTTGAGGAGTATGGTGAACCATCTGCACTGATACAGTTAACTCTTCTTGGAAAACGCCACCAGATCTGTAGAAATCTTGGTGACTCTTCATTGTCCCACTGCACTGACACAGCCCTGCATTACTAGGCATCCATGTAACTCACTCTAATCATCCAAATGACAAGTGAAGGATGGGAAGAAGGGACTTCTGCCTTTTCAGGCTTGCTCCCCCATCTCTGTTTGGGGGATTCCTTCACTGCAAACACCGTATTATTGCCATTTACAGTAGCAATCACTCAGTCCCCTCCTCTCCCACAAACCTAGTGCTGATATTAGCGCTGATCACACTAACAAGCCTTTGGGTTTTATTACTACTGATACTAATAATACTGGACACATTACGTCTGCTCCCACCAATAACAGGCTGCAGATATGATCCCCGCTAATGTCGATAATACTGGGGGATATTATCTCTGCCATTGTCAGCACTGCAGATATTATTGCCAGTAATGCTGTCAAATACTACAGATACTGTCAAGGACCAAGATTAATAATGCTGAGAATGTTACAGCACCAACCTCATTAGAAGTTGAATCCCAAATGAGAATTTAGGGTTAGACAGGAAGTGTGTTTGCAGTCTATTATGGAAAGAAAGGGCCGTGTCTCATAAGAATGGTTTCGTAAAAATTGCTGAAGTTTCACCCAGCTGAAGATGCAGTGTTATATACTCTATATACCCATGCTGGCAGCAGCGTGATATACTCTTTTCCTGTTATCTAATTACTTATCTATCTATCTGTCTATCTATCTATCTATCTTTCTATTTATCTGTCTTTCACTTTCTCGGCATTTCTCCTTTTTTTCTCCTTGTACCATGCTCAAGACTACAGTATGAGTGACACTAAGTTTTTGTTAGTGCCTCTAGGTCACCCCAGTTCTCATTCTTTTAGCTGTCAATTAAGGGATTATGAAAAAGCAGAAATAGTTGCATATTCTTCCACTTTGTCCTTCTGGATATTATATTGCTGCTTCTTAGTCTGGCAATGACCCTGCTGGTTGGCCTGCCAACACAGAGTACTACAACACTCAAACCATAAAGAGTCAGGAATTCATGTTTTCTGATGCAACTTGATAGTGTAAGACCCTCACTGGTCTTGAGAAAGTCATCACATGCTGCAGGATGACCTCTGCCTTTGGAAGATGGTGAGTATAAGTGATGGTGGGTGTAAGGTCAGAGGGAAATTACAGCTCCACTGGCAATGCCCACAGTGCTACACAAATGTTTAGTCAAACGTTTTAGTCAAATTATTTTCAAAATCACAGGAGACCAGCTTTATCACAAAAGTCAGAAATTTTGCAATCACTGGTTATAAACTGAAAAAAAAGTGTATTTTGGTCTTAGCAAGGCAAATCCTGACCATCCATTCTTGGCATTCACCTGAGAAGGACATACTGAGTTTTGAGGAAAGACTCATGGCCAACAGTTCCATGTTGTGACTAGTAGACACTAAGAGCTGCTTCCCAGCTAGCTCTCTCTCAATGTCATACATCACCCAGGCCACCCTTGCACTTTCAACCAGCGTATTTGGTAGGTTGGGATTCCCACTCTTTCCTCTAACTCCATGTGGGGGACACACCTGGCTGTCAGCGTCCATCTCCGAGCCCACCTCATGCATCCGTCTGGCTCTTTCTGTCCAATCGGGAGTTCTGCTACATCATCTTGACACATAATTATCTCTCTTCTTCTTAATCATCTGTGCTACTGTCTAATGTAGACACCAGCTGCAGCAAGGAGGACCTGGGGGAGGGGGTGTGCTCACATAGAAGCTTCTCTGTCTTTCTCCTACCCTGTTCCCCCCAGCCATCACAGAGGTTGCTAACAAGGTTTTCAGAACTGGTGGTTCAGGAACAGTTTGGTACTTCCCCTTTCTGCTGAACTGCATTCCTCACAGAGGAATCCTTACAGCAGAGCTGGTCCAACAGAGCGGAAAGAAAGAGAGAGCACTGCTGTTTCTTCTGCCTCCTTTAGGGAAGAACCACTCCCTAAATGCTTGGAAAGTAGATGTGCAAAGCTCACAAGGGCTTTTCAATGTGAGAATAAAACCTGAAGTTAAGAAAGAAACTGCAAAAAAGTGTTCAGAAGCCCTGGGCATCCAGCATGAATATGAAAGAAATACGTTGTATCTCTTGACAAACTTTTCCTACTCCCATCTCAACTAGAAACAATCAGAATGTTCAGAGCTACAGAAGAGACTGCCCAGGAATGAGTGAGGATCACTGGCTTTGCAAAACTTCCCCTTGCACCCTTCTAACCTTACGACTCAGCCTCGCAAAGGGACAATATTTTTCATAATTTCTGAAGGCCAGTGTGAGCCCAGATAACTCAACTCATGGTTAGAGATGTTGAGCAGCTAGCTGGAGGTCTCATGTGAGCTTTCTCTGGGTCAGGAGCATGTGTCCCTGCAGCAGATAACTGGGATGGCAGGATTAAGGCTGTTATCTAAGGCAGTTGCAACCATATCATGTAACTGCCACCTAAAACTCTGAGAGCTAAAGACAAACAACATCTGCAGGATTGTCTGGTTGGAACCTTTTTGATTCCTAGTAGGATATTTGGGCACTTGGCCAACAGCAAGGAGCTGCATAGTGTCAGTTGCCTAAATCAAATCTGGAATGAATTAAGGACAGACACAAAGACTAGTTCTTACCGTCAATATATCATTGTGAAGTGTCACAGTCTTAGATGGCTGCTGTGTTGTTTCTGTGTTTAATTGTATTGTTCCAAAGAAAGCTCAGGTTCTGAGGCTGGAAGGGACTGTGTGGCTGCATCTAAAGTGGGATGATCTTTCCAGGTATAGCCGGAATAGTAGCTAAAGCCAGATTGAAGAGCTTAATTTCTAATGAGGTGTGGAGACACCATGTTGAGAGATGGTGATCACCACATTGGACTGCGTGAGAACAGGGATTCTCAAAGCCCTCAAATAACTGCCAGGAGATCTGCACAACTGTTAGAGAAACGTGTCATTCAATTTGAAATGTCACTATTTCCTGTGTATGTAATGATGGAAAATGCTAGAAAGGTTTGCAGTACTTGTCTTTTATTCCTGACATTTTTTGACTTTGAGGCATTGACTCAGTCCTTCCATTGCTACACTTTTTTCTTAGCTGGGCCCTACTGCCATCTAGCTGGGAAATGGATCTTCCTCCGGGGCCCCGATCCCATTTCCAATGACATCAGCAAAAATCTTCCCATTTGCTTTTACAGAAGCTGGATTGGGTCCTTGCTTCTAGTTTTACTTTGTATAAGGAATGCAGCATCTGTCTCAGGAGAGCTTTTTCTTCTCAGCACATATCACAGAGAACTCTCATGTTCTCTTGCACTGCACAGCATTGGGATTACAGCACACACAGCACCCTGAGCCACCTGTCCTAAGAGGTCTTTCCATGCAACAAGCAACACAACATACTGAAGTCCGAGCTGAACCCAACAAACTGGTCAGTCAATATATCTTTAAAAAGTTCACCTCCTGGCCCTCAGGTTTAGAACAAATCGAATTTAAAAAGACAGACTTAAGGAAAAGTGTTTGAAAGCCACCATAAGAGCACCAAGACCTTACCCACCCCTCCTGACTCAGTCTGTTTAGACCTGAGGCTCCAGCTTTTGATTCATTTCAAGATCTTTGCCCTGAATACTTCATGGCAAGTAGGATGCAAAAGGAGAGAGCTTAATACTGTTTCATTATAGCCTTATTGAAAGGCTTAGAAACAACCTTAGGATCACAATACTCAGAAGACCTTCTGTTCTGCTTTCAGACTGTTGTAAGCATGACAGCTCTGCTGTGGTAGATGCTACTCATTGAAAACTGGGCCCTTGTGATCACCAGCTAATGTAGCTCATGGCACATCACAGGGCAGGAACTTGTTTGCAAGGGGAATGAAAGACAGCTCCCACATTGCTGGTGCTTCTCCAAGATAGCATTTAGTTTGAAATCAAGTGTGTCAGGGAAACCATGTTTACCCACAGTTCAAAGTCCGGGCACCTGCTGGCTCCTGGGGAGCTCAGTTCCAGCCGTTTCCAGCAGTGAATGAACTTGGGATCAGCTCCAGCAATGGAGACGGCTCTCTGCCTGCTGAGCAGATGTCTGGAGACGCAGCCTGTCATGAAAGGCCTCGGAAGAAGAGCATTCCAAGCCAGCAGGGCAGTGGCGGGGAACTGGTCTCTGTTGCTAAAACTGATCTAGCCCCTGGAGCAGCTGCAAACCTTGGCCCGAAATTGGAGCCTGTACACGGGGACAAAGAATATAAAAGGGAGGATGAGCTTCTCCCCTCCCCCTACCTTCATCACGTTTCCTCTTCTCGCCATTCGACCGAGGAATCCCCAGGATCCCGTTAATGGAGTAAGAGCCCACTGGATCATTGGAGGCACTGGAGACAGGAGGGGATGCTGTGCTGGGCACTGGACGAAAGGAAAAGGGAGAAAGGGCCATCAGGAGAGCAGCACAGCACTCAGGGATCCCCAGCTGAAAGCTATGCATGCCACCAGTCTAATAGGAAAGCCTGGGCACTAAGCAGATTCCTGGTCCTTCATGTTGAAGGACTTACTCTACTGTATCCCAGCAAAGCTGCATCCCAGCTTTGCTTGTCCACTGCTATACTGTAGCTTCACAGCCTTCCAATACAGGGCCATTGATAACAAGTGTACTTCATCAAGAAGCTAAATGTTGTTACATCCCAGTTCAGAGCAGGCTTTCAAGGTAATCCAGTGAAATGCTGCATAGGCCACTTTCTCTAGTGACCTCATACGCCATCCATATTTTACCAGATCATTTCTTCTCAGTATTTTTTCACCAGGAGTGCACATGCTCTGTCTTAGGCAGACTAGACTCTTACATGCCAACCTGAAACACTTAGGGAAAAATTACCTTCTTAGCATAGATTAGAAGCACTTCAGTATTAGCCTATTAAATTCAGTTCCCTACTGGAATGACTGAGTGATACATACTACCACCCAGATTAATGAAAATCTAGTGCCTTCCTTTTGTACTGACCAATATCAATAGGCAGAATGCTCTGGCCACCTGGCTGTCCAAGATTGCTCATGAATTTCCAATATATCAAAAGTGACAAGTAATCCAAATTAGAAATGATCCCTTTGTGATAATCAGGCCTTTAGAAAATAGAACAGGTAGACCTATGCATTCAGCAGGCATACCTATTGTGTCCCAGTGTGTCCCAGTAATGGAAAGAATATCCCAGTTCTCTTACAGGCCACTATTCATCATTCAGCTCATAAAGCACTGATCTGAAGCAATCAATACATCCAACAGAAGCCTTTCAGGATGGAGCAGAACCTTGCAACACTCTCCAATGTATACCCACTTCCTAGAATATCCCAGAGCAATGAGTCTCCACTAGAAGCACTCACAATCACTACCCCAGCTCAGCCATTGCATTCCCTAGACATTGTACTGCTGTTCCAAGAAGGAATCTGCCAGCTCTATCTGTTGTGATCAGTGATCGCCAGTCCAGTGAGCAAGTCCATATTAAAAGAGCATCCAGAAATGTTCTTCCATATTTGCCCATTGTAATCCTGAATACAGTTTGTGTACAGGATATCTACCAGCTCTGTCCCATGCAGATGAGCATTTTCTGGTAAATCCTTGTGTAGCAGCAGATTCTCCATAACCAACAGAATTTAAGAAAGTCTTAGGCCACAAATAAACCACTGTAATTCACAGTATCCCAGAATACTGCATGTTTTTCCTGCTCTAGTTTGTCACTAGATAAAGCTCTCCTAGCAAGAGCAGACGTATCCACCCCACAGTTCACAGATTAGAAAGTATCTCATCACACATCTAACACAGTACCTCTAAACAGACTAGGAGGCATTTGGTCACTATATTACAGCCTCCATCTTCTGTTCACCTCAACAAACTAGCAAAACATCTCCCATGGCATTCTCAGTGAAATACACCCATGGGATACCTGACTGCAGAGCTAGAACAATGAAAAACTTAGTTGTGAGGCAGCTGGAATATCTTACCCATGTTTGTGTGTTACTACCATTAAAAAATTGACCATTTCCATCAAAGGGAGAGGAGAGAAGAAAAACTGGTAGGGAGGAAAAAGAGAGTCAGAGGAACGACAAGGGAAAAGGCGAAGACTGATGCTTAGACAGGACAGCAGTAGATAGTTCTGTATAAGGAGATGAAGGAGAGAGCATGAAGATGAAATGGACATTAAGGCAGAATCACTTGGGCAAACCCCTACTTTGGGCTAGTTTCCCTGTGATTCACTTCTCTGCATTGCAACAGGGGAGACCAAGAATAGAAAACTGATTTTCATGGAGGCTTCTTTCCCCCCACCCCTCCTCCCTTTTGCTCTGCTTAGCATCTGCTTGTCAGACTTTGTTCCCTCAACTAAGCTTCATCCCTATTTCCACTTGACCTGTCACCACCCCTCATGCCGGTCTACTTACCAATAGTATGTCCTGGTGCAGTCACACCTGTCCCACTCCCATCTGGTGTTGGGTGAAAAGGTTGCTGAACTTTGGTTCTGATGATCCTGGAAAAGAGTGAAGCACATTCAGAACTCAAATGCATCTTCTCTGTGCCTTTGCAGACCCACAATCCCAGATATCAGAAGCTGAAGGCTCGATCTGAGCTCTCAGTGCAGCAGAGTGGCTTCATTTGCCTTGTGGTCCTGATTCTTCTGCTTTAATAGTCCAGCTGTCAGAGAATCATCCTATTTCTGCTCCGTCATCTTTATCCCAAACTTGGGTGTTCACTGCATAAGGATGGTGTTCAGTGAGCAAGCCAGGATCTGCTGTGTGTTAACAGCTGCATTGTCATTTATGGTCAGGTCTGTGAGCATAATAACAGTGCAGTCTTCACAGCTAATAGAGACATTGCTGAATTTACAAATGGAGTAGCTGTAATTTTGTTGTCTACCTGAAAAGTACCCTTCTAACCGACTAAACGCTTTGTACTGCGTAAGGTTTGCCCATAGCCCTTGCCCTTCATAAATGAGGTGAAAGCGGAAGGCATCTGTAGGGACTGGTGATGGGATATAGACCACCAGGAAAAAAAGGTCCATCAAACAGGGCAAAAATTGGTGTTTGTCAGGTGGTGAATGAACACAGCATGGGAAACTCAAAAAAGCATCACGAAGCTTATAGTGTAGCTTAGAATGGCAATAAACTGAACTGTAATTGTCAGTGCTCTGTTTCTTGTTACATGAAATCTTTCACCTCTAGGTCACTGGTTTAAATCCAGCTGAGGTCAGTGGTGAAAGAAAATCACTAGTACCTAGTACCTGACTGCAAGGTCCCTGACTACTGGCAGATATTGGGTATCTGTGAGTTGGGAACAGCTGTTCCACCAAGGAACTCAGTAAATAAGCCATGACCTGTGGAGGCCATGGAAACCAACTTCCTTTCTGAGATTAGAACACGCCGCTCCTCTCTTCAGCCACTCCAGCTGGCGTGTAGGTGCAGATTCTCTTCAGCCTCAGCTTCTGGAACTCTCAGCCCTGCATTTTATTAGCTTTATTTTGTACCCAAAAATCTCTCCAGAAAGTGAAAGCAAATAGATTTGTCCACTTGAGAGCTTCCCTTAAAAATTTGTTCTGAAGAGTAAGTTGGCAAAACTTCAAAGAGCAAATGTGAGTGATATGGCATGAATAGAGATAGGCAGAGACATTGTGGGGGCAATTTTTAAAAAACACTATTTCTGAGGATGAAGCCTTCTTAGGAAAAGAGAACATCTCGCTTCAGGATGTTAGAAGACTCTGCTACAAGCTTGATAAAGCCTGATCTGTAGCTGGAGTGCCTGGGACATAGTTGGAGACAGAGAACGTCAAGGTTCTAGCTGAGGATGGAGATCCAGTTCCTCACTTCATATAGATCAGTGGTACCAGATGCCCTAATCTACAGTTGCTGAGAACCTATACAAAAAGTGTCTGAAGGCCTCAGGGCCAGATTCTGAGGTCATACAATTTGCACTAGGTGAAGAGCTGATCTGAAAAGTGTGCTACGGCAAATAATATAACTTTTTTTCTTCTTTTCTCTTTTTTTTCTTTTTTCCCCTCTTCTCTCGCATTCCCCCTAAAACCCCCTGAAGTGCCACTCTGGTTGTGTGAGTTTATTGATTTCCCCCAGCCCAGAGAAACAGAAAAAGGGGATGGGGTGCAGGCAAAGGGATGGAAATAGAAAGCTATAAATTATTTGTGACAGGAAAGCAATAGTGCCAGAGTGCTGAGCACAAGTCCCGTGTCACTATTAGATTCCTTTTAGCCTGATGACACTGTAAAAGAGGTTAAGTGTCTGATGGAATCGTACACCTTGGGGGCAGGGGCAGTCCAGGAGCAGAACAAGCCACAGAGAGCGGGTATATCAATTCTCCACGCCAATAATATTCCCCTCATTGATCGCAACACAAAGTTCAAAAATCTCATTATAGCTAGGCAGTCCTGGAACTTTTTTAAAATCAATAGAGTGATATAATATATGTATACTTTGTATAAATGTTTCTATCCATCCATCTATCCGTCTATCCAAAATCTGCCTGAGGGTGTCTAAGTTAACCTACACATTATACTGCGTTATGTTCTATTGTAGTGTAGCATAGTGAACGGATTAGAAGATTTCCCCTGCAGCCTTAGATGACATATTATAAAACGTCCTGTTAGCACTGAGGTGACATCAGATGGTTCCATTCATACTGAGATGTGACATCAGATTTTCCATTTGTACTGGGAGATGGCACCAGACACCTCAGCTTCTACTGAGGGGAACCATAAGATGAGTCTAATTATACTGAGATGGCAGATCAGGCTGTGCTGAATCATGCTGCATGAAAATTGCAAAGTTTCAAAAACCCATTTAGAGTAAAAACAGCCTGTGAAACGCTGCAGGTATAAAATGCCTGTCCATAATATTCCAAAACCCAGGCAGGGGATGAAGAGGAAGGTTCAATTTCCTTTCCCATTCAGTTTGAGGTCTCTTGGCTGAGAACACCAGTTAGTGCCAGTTGTGACTGTGTTTACTGAGATGTGTCCATTAGGAACTGGAATGAGACTCACCAGCTCATTGCACCAAGTAGCTGTCAGCTGGTAATGATTTTCGGTCACTACCAAGCAGGGCCAGATTTCTGCTAGTGACCCAGAGGTGAAAGGCTCTGTTCAGAAACATCCCATTCCTAAGAATGAAACCGGTCTTATGTCAAAAGAAAGTGTCCGGAAACCGTGAGCAGAGGAGAGCAGTTCTGGCTGTGCTGCCTCCAGTGGCTTGGGTCAAATAATTTGTGGCATCAAATGCACAGTGAACCTAATGAGGTATCTGGTAGAATGTATTTTCTATGGCTAAAAGAAGAGGCAGATCTTGAAAAGATTCTCCCCATCAGTGTTCCTTTGCCCTAAAGTCATGACTCAACTCCAGTGTTTTAAGGAAAGAGGGGAAATTCAGGACTCTAATGCTCAGTACAGAACATGGCAGTGCATCCCCCTGGGTCGATTCACTTAGGGGCAGTGATAAACAGCAGAATAGCTAGACAGCACTGCTGCTGCTTTGAGAGGCTTCAAGTGAGTCTGTCCTACAAAAGACCACCTAATGAAACAGCAGATGAAAGATGAACAGAGCTGACCTGGCCCCGTAGCAACAAATGCAGCATAATAATGCTGTCTTTAAGCTTCAGTGTTGCTGAAAGCTTCTCACCCTTAGTAGGGATTGAAATACTCACTAAGCCAGCTCTGCTGCCTCAAGTCTAGGATTTCTGGATTACTGCTGTGTAAGAGGTCACAGAACCTCGATCACCTCTTGCTGTCTTTGATGGGTTGTCCTTGCCTTCAGACACTGGAGAAAGGGAAGTCTTGCAGATTACATCCTCAGCCCTTCCCAAAAGCAGAAGGGACACAAGTCCTGACACATCAGTTAGCAGTGCTGATTTCTTGAGATAAATGCCAATATTTTCAAACATCTTTTTCCAAGAGAAATTGACCCTTTGGACTAAATTCATCCCTGCTCTAATTCCATCACAATTACTGGCTCCAATAACAGCCTTTGTATTTAATTAAGAACGGAAACTGGTACTTACTGTAAATTCCCATTTTTCATTTTCTGGTGGGAGATTTTTGTACAAGTTGACTACTTTGAGTTTTGGATAATATAAACAGATTTGACACATAGCCTTCTGAAGTTTCAGCAACAGGACATTTATAGATCTTTGATTGCAGTAAAGCAACTGAACTTCATTTCACAATCTGAATTTAATATGCAATATTATGTTAAGTGATGGCATATAATGTCATTACAGTAAATAGTATCATACTGTGAATTATACATCCATCCTGGAATTCATGAGTTGCTATAGTTGGCTTGTAGTAACTCCTTCTGGACTTAATATTACATACAGCACCAGCTGAAAACAACAGCTTATTTCCAAATGCCTTTGACTTTTTAAAATGCTCAACAATAGGTCATGAATTTCCAATGTTTGATTTCTATTTCATTGTTTTTGTCAGTTTTAATGGAATTCCTTCTCCTGATTCTGAATACAGATGGACAGACAAAAATCTTCTAGTATTACAATTGTAACAAGCTCTAATCAAGAGATGTAACAAGAAATATTAAAGTTAAAATTAGCTGAGCCAGAGTGCTTCCTGAGAAGAACTTTCACTCCTTGTAAATAAGCAAGTAAAAAATCACTTCTAAACTTGTGAAAAAATTACTTGTTAAAAGAACATAGAAAAGATGGCAGAAAACTCACCTTGCTTCTCTGACATTTCTATCCAAACTCTCTTAAAGCCTAACATACTTGGTGGTTTCTTCTCTCTTACTATGGCTGGCAGAGTGTTTTGACAGTATCTCAAATAAAAAAACCATACTAGGGCTGATTAGAGGGAGATAAGGCAGGACGGAATAATCTGGAGTCACAATCTAGACATTGTCTTAATCCTAGAAGAACAGAGTGAAGTTGAACTGAAGGAAAGATTGTTGTGTCCTGCTGCCTCAAGAAGACCCTGACAGGTTTCAGAAAACATTGGTATCCTCACTTTGATCAGATTCCATTGTCGTGGATTATTTTTGAGGGTGGAAGGACACACTCAGCAGAGCACCAAACTCCTTGTAATTGTTTTGGAGTATTCATATTTTAAATGCTCCATATTAGAAGCACATTACAAGACCCCAGGGTGTGCATTACTGGGCAATTAAAGCGGTTCTTGGAAGGCTAACATTGTGAAGCTTCAGCCTTTTCTCTGCGCTGTGTCCAGGGGAGGCTGTGATGGCCAAGGCACACACACCCTGCTGTGCCGCGCTGCTTAATTAGCGCTGGGCTGCACTGCGGGGCCGGGCTGCCTGTGCAAGGCGGCCTGCGGGCACACGGGCAGGGCTGAGCGGGACAGAGCCCCCTCTGCATCACATGGCTTCCTGCAAAAGGGCTTGTGACCATCCCACTGATGCTGCCAAAGAGGGACAACATCGGATGAGAAGAGGCAGCTTTGGGGTCTTTGGTGAAAGCCCCATGGAGCCATCAATATCCCACCTGCAGATCGGTGCTGCAGAGGCA